TCCGTCCCTCGTCTCTAGGCCCCCACATCTCTGCTGACAAAATGAAGGGCCGGGCTGGGGACAGCAGGACGCTTCCGTCTGTGTGGCCTATCATGCCTGTCACACATCCGAGGAACTCCAGAGACAGGGTGTGGGGCTCCCCCAGGCACCCTGGGCGTGCAGCACGGGAACCTGCCTCCAGGAGACAGCAGGTGGGCCACCAGTGCTCTTATGCACAGCCCTGCCCGTGGGGGGACAGCTGTCCGCACCCCAGGTCTCTCTGGCCGTAAGAGCACGTCTGCTCATATGTGGGTAGAGCTGGCCTCTTGAACACCAGGCGGGGGGCCTGGAGGCGAGCCGACCTCCTCGGCCAGCATCGCCGAGGTCCTGCACCCTCCCTCTTCCAGCTGTGCTCCCATCAGCCTGACGGGCAGCATCGCACCCCCTGGGGGCTGGACAGACATGCCAATTCTCAGGCCCCATCCCAGGCCCAGGGGGCTCAGGATTGCCAAGGGTGGAGCCCAGGAATCGGGCTTTTCATAAGGCTGGGGTGACTCCTTCACGTGCTGGCCCCTGCTGTAAAGCCCTGCGCTCTGAAGTCCCTCGGGCGGGTCTACCTGCCCCGCTCTGCCAGGGGCTCCCTGAGAGACCTGGGTAGCAATGTCCTTCTGTGTAAGGTTGTCCGTGGGGAGGTCTCTAAGGTCCTTCTTGCCTCCAGGGCCCTGAGAGCCCAGACTTGGCCTCAACATCCTTGTGGCTGGCTCGGACCCTTCCCAGAGCAGGGGAATCCAAGGTTAGGGGCACAGGCTTGAGGAGGCAGAGTGGGGCAGGGCTATGTCTTGTCAGATGTTGAAAACAGGTCAGCATGCTGGGACACACTCAAGACAAAAGTAACTGTCTCCATTTAGAGCTCCATTTAGAATTTCTAATAATGAGGGAGCATCTGTGTTCTGCTTTATGATCCGAAACCTTCCATTTTCCGGCTCAGGGTGTCAGCAAATCCACGGCATGCACACCACCTCTCGCTCTGGATGTGCCCCGGCAGACATCACTAATCAACTGCCTACTCCTACCCTCGAAGCCCAGTTCTTAACACAGGGCTCTCCCCCTCAAGCAGACCAGGCACTCAGAGGAAACGCACCTGCTCTGCAAGTGAGCTAGGGCAGAGGGAAGGAGAGGAAAGGTTTTGGAGTGAGGCACACCCAGGCGGACCTGACTCCTAGGTCCTAGGAGATCAAAGTGACCCCTTACGCTGGGCTGCTGTGAAGACTCGCTGAAAACGAGGCCCCAAAGTGGGAGCTGCTACTTATTATTTCTGTGCATCCTCCTCCTCCAGACTAATTACCATGACCCAAGAAAATCAACTTTTGGTGCCTCATTAGAGCCTGAGAGCCCGGTGTCCAGAATATTTCAGGGTCTTATTTCCTTCCAGACAAATAGAAAGTTAGGGTTCGCTAAAACAAGACAGAGTAGTCGTTTCAAAACATTTTGTCTCTTTTTAAAAAAAGAAATTGATCTTGTGTGTGTGTGATTTCCCTATAATTTCCCTTCTCTGTGTCTCTGTCAGTGTCTTGGTTTACACCTCTTTTCATCTCCTTCATCTGTCCTACCCGACCGAGATGAAACAGGAATGTTAAAGTCAGGAGAATTACCCCGCTGCCCACAAAACCCTTCCTGCTTTTGTTCCAACACCCCTACTGGGGGCTACAAATCCCCTCGAGAACGAAGCTGCAAATCCAATTAATTTCTGCCATCGCCAAACAAAGACAGGCTACAGCCGGAGTGGGGAGGAGCGGACGGGGGGACCGCCTGTCAGGGATGTCGTGGAGCCTCGCACCCTGGCTGCTGGGACGGGAATGCAGGGGGTGAGGAGGCCGTGCCAACCATCTGGCCTCCCTCTGCTCCCCTGTCCTGTCCCCACTGCCCCGGGCCCACTCTACCTAAGCCTCTGTACCTGCTCTTCCTCCGCCTTCAGCCCCCCCCTGCCCCATTCACCCAGGTCCCGCTCTACCTCATGTGGGAAGATGCGGCCACTCTCTCAGCCTGGGTCCACTTCTGCCTAGCAGAGTCCACATTAGAGAGGCATGGATGGATAGATGGCAGACAGACGGGTGGGTGGATGGATAGACGGATGGATGGATGGATGGATGTACGAACGGATGGATGGACAGATGGACAGGGGGATGGATGAGTGGGTGGACGGATGGATGGGTGGTTGGATGGACGGATGGATGTCTGGGAGGACAGGTGGGTGGGAGGGGTGGACTTTGTGGGCTGATGGACAGATGAATGAGATGAGTGAGTGAGCCAGTAGGGGGCAGGGGTGGGAGGATGGGTGGGTGGGTGAACTAGTTGGGGAATGGATGAGGGGACAGATACACGGGTGTCAGATGTTCTCAAGCTGTTCACTCCCCCCAGACAACAACAAACGGCCGTCCTGAATAAGACACGAGGAAGCATCTTCAAGACGTGCTTATGAGAAACCACACAGCGGTACCCAAGTCAGCCTGAGCTGTGACTTGACGACACCGACCCTGACTTAACACTGGGGGAGCATATTTGCACAGAGGGCGTTTGAGCAGTTTCCGGGGCCACATTCCAGCTGTAACTTCCAGCCCGGCAGGGGCTGGACCAGGTGTGACTCTGTGGTCACTCTGGCTCCCTCCTTCTGTCGCAGGCACCAGCTGATCGCCCAGACCCACTATGCAGCTCCCCCCCAAGCCCCTCTCCCTGGCTCAACAGGACATCCAGACGCTCCTGGTGCAGTTAACTTGCTCTTTAAGAGAAGGGGATGAGAATCAAGTGTGGTGAAACCGCACAGAAACGCCCGTGGGTCAGACACCAGAGGGCAGTCATCCAGGTCCCCAGGGCGTGGGAGGGGTTCCTCTCGTCCCATCAGACCTTCATGAGGACGCATTTCCTCGAGCCTGGCTTCTGGGAAGCCAAGCTTCCCGCTTTCCCCACTTAGGGAATTAAGGGGATGCCCGAGCAGGAAGCGGAAAAGCTGTGAAGAAATTGCCAGCAGAGCCCACGCACTGGGCAGCAAGAAATCCACCCTGGCCAGACTCCTCACTCGTCCTCCCAGGGCGGGGCGAGAGGCTCGAGCCACACTTCCACCTCCCCAACCCAAATCACGCCTCCCACTCCGAGGTCAGTTTTAGCATCCAGCTGCTGTGACTGCTGGCCGTGCGTGGGCAGGACAGCAACAGTCCCAGTGCCAGAGGCAGAGGGTCCCCAGCTAGAGGAAAAAGGCCTAAACAAAGGGCACCCTGAGTGGGCGGCTGAGACAGACCCCAGAAGAACAGAGAGGGCCGCCGTTCCCACGCCAAACCCTGCCGTCCTCCCTTCCCCCATCCATCGGGTATTTACTGGGCACCTGATCGGAGCTGGCCTGGGGGCTGCCATCCGTCACTGATCCAGGGAGAAGGCAAAGCCTGAACGTAGCCCTGGGTTCAACAAATCAGTCTCTGGTCCTTGCCCGCGGGACTTCTTGGAGAGGCTGCTAACAGCTGTGGCCTCTGAAAAGTGCCCGCTGGTGCGACTGTGCCTGTGGCCGCATGGGAAACAGACACGTGGGGAAGGGGCAGACCCGACGCTCCGGGGCCCTGGGTGGAGGTGTGAGCACAGGAGCCGTCGGACGGGGACGGGGAAGGTCCTGCGTGGCGGCAGCAGGCTTGGTTTATCAAAGACCGAAGGAGCCAGTGAGAGGAGCTCCGAGCGCAGGGGCCCCCTTGGGAGGAGGTCCCAGGCCTCCGGCTCCTGGCGGAAGGACTCGCCCAGATTCATGCTCCCTGTGCTGCGGAGGCTGCGGGGCCTGGACCCGGGGCTCCGGGGGAGCTCGACCCGCCTGTCGGCGCTGATTTACTATCTTCTGGACAGCAGCTGCCGAACCTCCCGTCTGAGTTTCACGCACTTCAAACCCAGCCCCAGCGCAGCACGCGGCGGGCCCAGCCCAGCTGCCGTCTGGCGGCGGCCGGCCCTGTGTTATTCAATCCATCCTGGAGCCCCACGGGCAGGGCCACTTCCCTGGGGGGCCCTCCACCCAGACCAAGGAGCCCCTGGTGCAAGGCAGGTACACATTTCGTTACTGCGCTGTCTGCAGAGGGCCCTGCCAGGACCCAGACCGCTGCCCCCAGGCGCCACCGTCCCCCACCCTGGCGAGCAGCCAGAGCAGAGACCCCACTGCCTCTGTCACTCTCATCTTAGGGGAGGCCTTGTGGGAGGAGCTAAGAACCAGGCCTGTGTAGATAACAGATCCAGGTTCAAACCCCAGCTCTGCTGCAGACTTGCTGTGTGACGCTGAGCAGTGCACCCTCCCTCTCTGAGCCAGCTTCCCCAGCTGTGGGATGGGGGTAATGGTAAGTGTTACGATCAAAGGAGAACACACACAAGCCAAGTCTCAGCCCAGGTCCTTGCTCCCAGCAAGTGTCCCATGAGAGCCTGGGCCACTGTCCCTCCCTTTCCCGCAGTTCACCCCAGAGCCCACCTGCAAGTCCAGGGCCTCAGACACAGGCAGTCCCCCGCCTCCCCACGGCCTCCCAGTGGGCCCACCCCGGGTTTCCACTACAGCTGTAAAGTGCCCCTCGCCCAGGGCGCCTCCAGGACCACCACCAGGTCCTCCCACCCAGTGCCTCCGGGGAAGCACGCTCCGCAAACCAACGTTCACACTCGGGAGGTAAGAAAGCTTCGGGTCCGAGTGTGGCTCCGACCGCCTAGCGGCACCCAGAGAACCTAGGGCACCGGGTTTATGTTCCCACCTCTGCTGGCGTTGCAGATGCAGGTGATCCGGGCCTGAGGCACCTCAGCTCCTCCCCGCACTTGGCACGTGCCGGGAAGAAGGCAGACTCCTGACTCATAGGAAAGCGCTCCCTGCGAAGAAGATCCGCGTTTACCGGCAGCCTTACAGAGCAGCGCCATCGGCAGACGCCCTGGTCCTCCTTGGCCACTCTGGTGCGTCCGACAGGAAAGGCGGAGCCTTGGGCTCCTGGGTTCACATACTGGAGGGGGAGACCAGCCCGTGGCCCCCCAAGAGCAGACTTGGCCTTAGAGGCCTGGGGGTGCTCAGCTCCTGGCATCTGTCCTCTGGGGGCGACCACTGGCCAGCTTGTGCAGGACCAGCGATGCAGGAATTCCAGTGCTAGCGCCGGGACAAGCCAGCCGCTCCAGTCCCGCACGCGGAGGACCGGCAGCACCTGAGAGCCCTCGGAGGTCACTCCTCTGGCCCGGACAAGCTTCCTATTCCGAAGTTGGCCTCAGAATTAGGTGCGACGCGGCTGTGGGAGGTCCTGGCACCAGGCCTGGCATGGACACCGCCACACTCAGACTCACCTCACCAGCTGTGATCAGGGGCCCAGGCAGGTGCAGGGGAGCAGAAGAGGGCGCGTGGGTGGGAGGGGTGGGGGAGCGGCTAGCCAGGGCGCCGGGCACTGGGCCACACCTCCGGTGTACCACTTTGCTGGGGAACCGGCAGCCAGGCAAACTTTAAAGTCACATCAAACCACAGCCTGAAGGCCCTGACAGGCCCGTTTAATTATTCAAAGAGCCACCTGGGTGCCGCCTGCTAATTGGCTGGGAGGCCTTGAAGCACCGGGTTTTGCTTATTAAAAGTGGCTCCCCGGCTAAATAGCCTGGCTGCCCAAACAAGCCAAAGGACCTCGTTTCTCTCCTCAGCCCACCAGGCACCCACGCAGACAGGCCATCACGCCAGGGGCTGTGCCGGGCCGTGCCCGCTTCCCACCACACCTACACTCAGCTCAGACTGAGTACGCGTTGTGCCAGAGAGGAGGGGACCCATGCCCACACCCCCAGGAAGGTCGCGTAAGGCAGAAGGGCGCGAGGATGGCCACAAAGGCCCAGGAGTAGGTGGAGGAGGGAAATCGGGAGGGCCTCCCACAGGAGGTGCCAGGGAGCTGATCTGGTGAGAAGTCTAATTGGAGCTCAGAGTTCCGGCCTGTGTCAGACAGACAGGGCTGGAATCTGCCATCTGGCTTCCTAGCCCCTGAGCTCGCCAGGGGACCTGAGTTAACGCCTCTGTAAGACGGGGACAGACCACTTGCATTTTGTGACACTTCAGGAGAAACAGTGTGGACGTGCCTCCCGCACGGCCTGGCACTAAAGGAGGTGGAGGCGAGGGTGACAGTGGACATGGTCAAGATTTAGGGGCTGCAGGAGGCAGAGGTGAGCACGTCACCTGCACACTCGGGGACGGGCAGGCTCAGAGGCTGCAGGGCCGGGTGGGGCAGGAGTCCAGTGGGGGCCAGGGCTGAGGGACAGAGTGACAGATGCCACTCAGGTGTCACCGCTAAGACCTCAAGCCAAAGTCAGCACCAAGGTAGGAAGGTTCTCGGTCTCCCTGTGTCATGTGCAGAGGCAGGCCCAGCAGACGTGTGGGTTGGGGAGGAGGTGCAGCTGGCCTCAGGCTACTGGGGGAGAGCCGAGTGAACCCCCAGGTCCCAGCCAGGCTGTCCCTGCCCTTGCCTCCAGAATCCCAGAGAGACAGAAGAGGACATGGACCTCGGGACAGGAAAGGACGGTTCCCCCTCCCCAGCTGGTCATCCGAGTGAGGGGGCGCCTGGAGCTGCTGTTGACTGACAGAGGAACGCGGTTTCTCGGCAGCTGCGAAGCTGAATATAGTTTGGTTTTCCGACAGCTTCTCAGAACGGCAGCAGTTGGGAGCAGAAAGGCCAGTGGGTCAGCAGGGCCATCTTCCCCTGGGAGCGAGGTCCAGCCTCCTGCAGCCACTCGGCTGCTTTCTTGCCCTGCCACCTTGACCTCTTCCCGGGGACACCTGCCAGGCCAAGGCGGACATCCTGGTGGCCTGCCAGGGTCCCGCCCGGACAGAATGCTCTGGAAACACCCCCTGGGGAATAGGAGGCACTACAGAGCCCGCTGTGGGCCTGCACAGAGAGGCCACACAGCCCAGGCTTCCCAGAGCCACAGCCTGAATGCCCCTTGGACAGATTCTGCTTCCAGCCCGCGGGCCAAGTTCTTGTGCATCCCCGCCTTCACCAGCAGAAAACCACAGCACACTCTGCACAAAACACTTCCGAACTGGTCACTGACAGGCCAGATCCCCTTGGCTGGGGGAACCGCACCCAAGCGCAGACAGGTCGGGCAGGGAGAGGTGGCGGCTGGGAGCACTGTAGGGTAGGGATGGATGGATGAGGGCAGGCCCGGTCCCAAGATGAAGCAGGCCGGGGGGGGCGGCTCTGCCCAAGGTTCCAGAGCCTGTCGGCCGCAGGGCAGGGTGGAGGCCACCTCCTGGCCCTCAGCTTGACACTCAGTGCCCTGACAATGGCCCCGATGCCCCAAACTGCTCCGCACCAGGGCAGCTGAGCCTGGATGGAAACCCGTGCCCTCCCACACCAGGGAACACGCTGCCCTTTCCTCCTTCTCCACGACCAAGGCTGTCTGCTCCCGTCGTGCCCCTGCCAGCCCGGGACGGCCTGTAGCAGCAGAGCTCGTGACACTTCCTGACCTCCCTCTGCCCCCAGGCACCACCCGGGCTTCTCTGGGACATGGTGACAGTGGCCTGTCCGGGTTCATGTCTGGGCACAGCAGTGAGAGGCAGAAAGAAACAGACTGGGAACTTGCTGTGCCGGGTGGGCATCCAACCCACACTGCGGGCTCTGGACGGAGACCACAGGAGCAGATGGCACGGCGAGCCCGCGCTGGGAAAGGGCACCCCCCTCGTAAACACACGAAAGCTCGGAGACTCCGTGGGGCCCCTCCTCAGGGGCCCGCTCGGGGTTCTTAGAGACCACCAAGCAGCTGTGTGGCCTCAGGCAAGGACCTCCCCTCTCTGAGCCATGTCTGCCACCTCCAGACGGTGGCTGGAGGGCTGGGGTCAGAGCCAGGGGTGCTCCTCTCCCCTCCCCCGACTGCCTGCCTGTCTGCTGGGATGAAGGGTCAGCCCAGTGGCCCTTCCACCAAGTTCTAGAAAGGCCTCTGCAGGCCCCCAGGACCTGCCCACCCCTCTGTGGTGGACCCACCAGGACAGAGAAGGCAAACCTGGGCCTGCCCGCAATCACCTCCTCCCCTTGCCATCCGCTCTGGCCGTGGCAGGCATCACTAGCCGATCACATGTTCTCTCTGGCAGAGCAGGGATGGATTGAACTCCAGGGGGAAGACTGGTCTGTGGACTCCAGTTAGAGAAGCAGGCCGTCTTCTTGGGGGACCTCCAGCCGGCCCTCCTTCTCACACCTGCTGCCCAGAGGTGGGGGTCAGCCCCAGGGCAGTCAGGCTGAGCCTCCACCCCTGGCTGGGGGGCACACCCACCCAGCTGAAAGGACACAACTGAAACCCAAGCCCTTCCCCTGCTTCACAGACAAGGGGTTCACAAGGCCTCAGGGTGGGGTGCCCTCAGTTTCCCCCAGTCAGTCAAGACAGATACCCACAAGACGGCGCCAAGGCTCAGAGGTGGAGACAGCTGACCGAGGAGACGAGCCAGGAAGTGGCAGGGCCAGACCTGGAGCCAGGACCACCCCCAGGAGGGCCACAGCGGGGAGGAAGCCGGGGGGGAAGGAGCCCGCGCCCCTCATCCCTGCCCAGGTGTCCGCAGCATCTTGGGCTGCAGCCCCTGGCCACCCCGTGGGACAGACCAGCCGAAGGGCCTGGGGTGTCACTCCCTGCACCGCCAGCACCGCCCGTGGCCTGTCAGGCCCCCGCTCCTCTCCCATCACAACCCCTCCTCCGAGCCTCCATCCGTCCTGGCTGCACATCCACCTCACTGGTCCTGGGCTCCACCCTGGAGGCCCTGTGGGGACGTTTCTGGACAGAATCTCCAAGGACACTGCCTTGAAGAAGCCCCCTCCCACCAGGGCTTCCCCACACACTCAGACCAGAGACCCCGCCCCCATCCTGCCCACCACTCCCAGCACGGTCTCCCTCCCGCGCCCTCCCACGTGCTCCTGTCCCCCTACAAGGCCCCCTCTATCCCACAGGGACACCAAGCACGACCCCTCCCTGAGCCTCCACTGCCCAGATCTGTCCACACGGCTCTGCTCACTCTTCGGAGGACAGAGCCAGATCGAACGCTGCCTCGTCTGGGAGGTGCCCTGACCACTGCATCTGAGCACCTCCGTCCCATCCCTCTGCCGTTCCCCCACCAGGCTCGTCCCCCTAGAGCCCGGGCCCCGAGAAGGCAGCACGCAGTAGGTGCACGTGACTGGAGACGGTCCAGGACACGAGGGGACAGCTGAGTGCCAAGGTTCCAGCACCGGGTGGCTCCGGGCTCGTGTGAGGACAGGGACAGAGCTGCCGCCCCAGACTGTGCCCTGGGGCACCTGGCTTGGCCAGTTTGGAGCAGAGAACTGGGCCGCAGTGCTTCTGGATGGCACCAGCCCCAGGTCTGGAGGCGGCCCTCAGCAGGGAGGGATGGGTACCGGCCAGCTGTCCAGCCCTGCGATTGCTCACCTTGGAGTCTTTAGGGCCGAGGGCCCAGCCAAGCCTCAGGGCTGCACTCCAGGCCTCCACTTTAATCAGAACCACTGGTGTCTCGCTGCTGCCCTCCTGGGGACGGGACATTCATTCCATCCCAACCCCGCTCCCGGGCTGCTGGGCAGAGTCCCAAGCTGGAGAGAGACGCAGGGCCCGTGGGTGCTGGAGGGCCGAGCACCCAGCCTCCCGAAGCCACCAAGCCCGCCGGAGATGGGGCCAAGGCCAGAACAGCGCCTCCGCCATGAGTGGCCCTGCATCGTGGAGGGCCGGGACCTTCAGCGCTGGGCGGGAAGGGCCTGCCTCAGTACCCCCACCAGTGACCCCACTGAGAAAACAGAGCCTCGGCCGCCCCCAGGGTCAGCTCTGCCAGGGACTGAGGCTAGAAGGGGCCCAGAGACACCAGGGGCGGCAGATCTGTGCCCATCAGTGCT